GAATTTAAATCTCTATCATATAAAAATTAAAAATATTTTACTAATTTGTAGCACCGGGAGGAAAGGGATGTATTTTATAGCGGGAAAACTACAAGTCTTAGCATAAATCTAATTAGTGCGTTGGATAGAGCTCGAGATATGGTCTTGAATAACATTTTAAACTTTTCAATTATCACTACAAATAAATGTGCTAGAGCAGTTTAAATATCGCATTTTTCCATTGACAAATGCCATTGAAAACATTGAAAATAATCATACAATACATAACTGTTTTCAATGGCATTTGTCAATGGAAAAATGCGATATTTAAACTGCTCTAGCACATTTATTTGTAGTGATAATTGAAAAGTTTAAAATATTGCTAATGTTAAATATAAATTGGCAAGCATACTGTCAAATAATAGTTTAAAGATTAATCATTTTGAAATCATATGAATTAAATATGATACGTTTACCTTGTGAAATAACTTACACAATACTATATCAGTTTAATCATGTTAATTAAAGTACATTCAATATGATTTAGTATTTTATATACCAGTTAATTATTTGTTTTAAATATTTCATTTATAAAATATGAGTTACAGGTTATATAAGTATCTTAAGTACATGTGAACTCTATAATTAAGTATCAATGAACTAAATCATCACCCTAACACATTAAACACCTACTGTTTTGTATACACTATCTACTTTAATATTACGAGTATTAACATCATATCTGTGATTGTAAAATAAATTCAGGATTCTCGATGAGTTGTGAGACGAAAGCTTTTTTCAATTGCTTACGTGTAAAGTATAGAAGTTTATTTCAAAAGCATTCGACTCACAACTAATCGAGAATCCTGAATTTATTTTAAAGCAACAGATATAATATGAGCCATTGAAAATTGAAGTATGCTCTGAACCTTCAATGAATAATATAGTAATCATTTAGTCAGAGCATACTTCAATTTTCAATGGCTCATATATTGTATGTTTAAAAATGTAAACTTGTTTGATTCTCAATGTGGCCAAAACTAGCCTATCCCTATATGTTATAATGGATATAGGATAGTTTTAGCCACATTGAGAATCAAACTAGTTTACTGTAACACATCAAACAAATTTACATTTGAACTATGGTTACATAATAATATTATGTAATATTATTATTATTATAGCATTATACTATTAAGTATACACACACAGTACCTGTAACTAATAAATATTTGTGTCGTACATATTTATTGCCAATTAAGAAATTATTACTTTTTATATTACAAACAATAAATTTACTTTATATATTTTTCGTAAACAACTTAAATGTTTATACAGTACATAATAAGCATTAAAAATATTTTAAAAAATAATATAAAATTTTAAATAAAGTCATATTATGACATAGTATAAAAATAATATAACAATTATGAAATGGTATTATCATAAACATCATATTAGCATCATTGCTCGTAAACTTATAAATAATGTGTCGTAAATAAATACTAATGTTTTTGTTTTTATGTATTTGTAATTGACTTGATTTGTGAATGTATTGATTTACGGTATAATGTTAATTATGTAATTCTCAGTTATTTATTAACCATTATATTCACAAAATTTATTATAAATTAAGAAAATTCTATTTAATATAATAATATCCTTTATTAAGATTAAATATAGACTTACATTTGTATATTTTACATAACTACAAAACAACATTATTTACAATTAACTTATCCTGATGTAAAGATTGTTACATATATTGATACCGTTTGCAATATTATGGACGTGGATGGGGGCACTATAACTATATATTTTTATAGCTACTGAGGGTAACATATTTTGGACACTATTTTATCGTGTTGTTAATATACGACATATTACAGGGCCCTATGAACCATCCCCCTAACATATCAGTCACATTCACATACCTGTCCACAAATGTGAACAAGTACACTGATGGCACTGAAAACCCTAACGATATAATCAGCGCACTACTGACCAGGGTAATTAAATTATTTTGACCAAATATCATAAACACATACCCGCCTAATGTGACAAATAATGGCACAATTATGAGATACTGGGGTTTAATATAATGTGTTATGAATATACCGATCATTCGTCCCAAAGCTAACATCCCGTTCTGGGCCGACACTATGGTCGAGGCCTTCGAGGCTGTTATGTTGAGCACCGGTAGGTACTGATAGAAAGTGGCCGTAAATGTGGCGAATAGTTGCTCCGACATAACGGCCGTTAACTGGACGATGGAAATGGAGGCTATTATGAGATATTTGGGAATGGGATGTGTTTTGGGGTCAATTGTGTGATCACTTTTAGTTGATGTGTCGGTGCTCTTGAGCTCATTTATGAATAGGCAATAGTCCTTGATGAAATACATTACAATGTTTATCAATGGCCCTGGAAAGTAATTTTGTAAAACAATATAAAATTGTAATTGTTAATTTAAATAAAAAAACGTATGCAGTTAAAAACTGTTCAATATGACTTAATTTCGTACTAGGTACTGAACAATATTGCAAAACATGTCAACTGTGGTAGGTATTTTTAAAAAGCTATATATAGTTACAAGTGCCATAAGATTTAAATTAGAAATTCATTAAATATTTAATAAATTCAAAAATATAACGTTACAGGCTCTATTAGAAAAATTAACATTTAATTATTATGTGCCATTTTTGACACCATTGTTCCTGGTCAGATTAAGCCATATTAAAGCAATTATTTTAATTCACTGAGCATTTAAAATAGACAATTTATACCTAATATTTGCAAACCACCTCCAATGAGGAACGGTTAGAGATCAACGCTGACGGATAGCATCATTATTGTGACAAGTCCTGTATTTAATAGTCCTATTTTACATGGTAATAATTATACTGTAACTTGTAAACACTGGGGCCCTGTTTAAAGTAAAGGCTATTCATAATTTTGGACCAATAGTGGGCCGAGTATTGTGCCGACACTCCATAGAAACTGCGACCACAGTATCATTTGTGGGCTCCGGTAGGTCCACATCTCGATCAACATAACGTACCCACAGCTCCTACACGTGCTGGCACCAAAACCATACATAAAAGAGCATAACCAGATTTGCCATAATTCACATGCCCGGGCATATGATATGGTGCTGATTGCCATTAGGGTGATGGCTATGGACAGGTAGATTTGGCGGTTAATCCATTTAAATGCGTATGTTGCTATAATTGTATTTCTTTAACAAAAATAATTTTATTTGAACTATATTAGAACCACTATCAATAACACATAAATGGTTTACACGGTTTTTTGTATGGCTGGGGGAACTTGCGGCCATAGTTAGGTTAGTAAACATCCGACGAGTGTGTGGTGAACGTGAAGTCCACGTAAGCCGGTGTTTCCATACTTGTTGTTACACCCTGTACATTATAATTATTTGTTTGTAAAATACTTTATAAAAATATTTTGTAATCACTTACAAATAATATATGATTATAAAATATAATAAACGTGTAAATACACGTAAATATACTGATCATTTTAGACATTTTATGTGTAATTACATTTGAATTTTAAAAATAATTTATTAGATAAATTAACAACTAACTTAATAGTATAGTATTTTTAACGTAATGTTTATGTTTATTGAATCTATTATATTTTTATTAATTTCTATAATTATTATTTTAGTTTATTATATCCTGTACATTGGTAGACAACAGACATTCAGTTATATAATATTACATCAGATCTATAAATATAATTGTGAAAAACAATGGAAAAATTTAATGTACAAAGTTTGTAATGTTAAGATCCTTTTTAATAAATTAATAGTCATTTTGTAAAATAAAATAATAAAAATTATTATTATTATTATTATTATTATTATTATTAATTATTATTAATTATTTAATTTAAAATAAAACTTATAAAAACTTAAAATTATAGAAAGCATAGAGTTTCAATATACTGTATACCATAAACTAATAAAAGGTTTATTGAAAAACTCATTTATATGAACACTGTAAAAAGTTAAATGGATTAGAAATAATTATAATAAATAATAATGTGGTCTTAAAGATATATTTTTGAGAATATAAATGATATAAATGTAATAATACTTATTAACTACACTTATGTTTAAAACTGTGTGACCATACTATTTACAATATTATCATTGTGTTTAGGAGCATTATTAAACACCAACTCAACTGGTACATTTCTAGCCGCATACATGGACATGGCAAACACTATAATACCTATACCTACCCCGGACAAACAAATATACAAAAATAGCGAGGGATTATACTGGATATAAAAACTCAAAAAGTAGCATAATACAATATACGACATATTACAGGGCCCTATAATCCAACCACTAATCCTATCCGTAACCGTCATATACCTGCCCAGGTATGAGAACAGGTATATGGATGGCAGCGAGAATCCCAGTGCTATGACAAGGGCGCTGGCTATTAGGGTAGACATATAATTTTGACCTAGTATCATAAACACATAGCCGGCTAACGCTACGATCAGGCCTACAATAATCAAATACGAGGGTTTGACATAAGAGGCTATGAATATGCTAACTAAACGACTCAGGGCAAATACATATAATTTTGACCTAGTATCATAAACACATATCCGGCTAACGCTACGATCAGGCCTACAATAATCAAATACGAGGGTTTGACATAAGAGGCTATGAATATGCTAACTAAACGACTCAGGGCAAATGCCCCATTTTGCATGGATACTATGCATGAGGCCCAGGAGGCGCTCACTAAGAGCACCGGCTGGTACTGGTAGAAAAGGGTTTGACATAAGAGGCTATGAATATGCTAACTAAACGACTCAGGGCAAATGCCCCATTTTGCATGGATACTATGCATGAGGCCCAGGAGGCGCTCACTAAGAGCACCGGCTGGTACTGGTAGAAAGTGGCCGAAAAGGCCAGGTATGAGTATTCGACCATAATAGCGGTCAACTGGACAACGGAAATACAGCCTAATATGAAGTACTTCGGTATGACTCGCTTCCGGCGCTCAGCGATGTCGGCACAGGTAGTGTCTGTGGTGTCCGTGGTTTTGGTGTAGTTATACTTTTTGATGAAATACATGCCAAAGTACGCGATAGCACCTGTAGATAGTTTAAAATTTTTATTAAATTATTTTTGATATTAGTAAATTTTGTCATTTTTAAGTATTAATGTCTATTAGTGACCAAGATTATATGTTATTCAAATTTTGTAGCATTTACTAATAACTAAATTATACCTAATTTATTTAATTGTAAGAAATTTGTTAGCATATTAATATATAAATTTTAATTAATACACTTGGTCACTAATTAATAAAACAAACAGTGTTTTGAAAAGGTCAATTTATGGCATTAAAATCAATTACCTATCACTTGAAATACACCACCAATAAGGAACGGTATCTCTAGTTCCGGACGTCTATTATAATCATAACACTGTTGCGTACATTTATTATTAACAAGGTAAGTGCCATTATATCTGCATTCATATTGATGTACCCCGGGGCAAATATCATTACTAATCACAAAATTTTGAGTGATAAGTGGTCCTATGATAGCGCCTACACTCCAAAACACTTGCGACCACAGTATCATCTGAGGGCTCCGGTAGGTCCACATTTCGATTAACACGACATAATTACAGCCATTCCAACTGCCCATACCTAACCCATAAATGAACGAGCACAGCCATATTTGCCATAGGTTTGTGGCAATGGGAAAACATATGGTGCTCACAGCCATTAGTACTATAGAAAAGGCCAGGTAGATTTGTCGGTTTATGTACTTGAATAGAAATGTTGCTAGATGTTTTTGAAGTAATTACCTGTATTATTATTTTTTTCGATCAATATTTATATGTAGGGCATACAAAGTGAACCAAAAAACATGCCGACCCCTTGCAGGGCAGGTACCAGACCTATCAGACTCAGCGACGAGTTTGTTGTGTACGTAAACTCCACAAACGCCGGCCCCTCCATGGACTGTGTTATACCCTGGTCAAAGTAGTTTTAATATGGGTTTCAGGGTTTCTAAAGTACTGTAGTTGGATACTATGAATACTTACAAATAATAACATGTTATATAAATGCAATCCGGTGTATATCCACATAAGCAACATGCACATTTTCCCTGTATTAACTGATTTTGGTATAATAATCGCGTCGAATATTATATTATCCAGTTGCATTTTTAGTTTCATTGTAGTTTACTTAAACTTAAATTAAATTAAATGCTGTATCAATTTTAATTTTAAGGATGTAACATTCAATCATAATATTTATACAAATGTTATCCGGATCTGTGACTAATGAGACCTTCATTTTATGTTATGATATAAAAGTATAACACATCCTATTTGTAATAACAATAATTATGACTTGGTAAATTAAGAAATCTGTCAATTGGTAACAAGTTTATATTAAATTGTTTTGCATTATATACAAATAAAACAATATTAAATTATTATCTAGATTATGCTTCTCATAAATCGTTCAAATAAAATTATATTATTTTAACTATATATAAATAAAATAATATATTTCGAAAATATTAAGGCCAGATATTTTGTTGACCAAGTATACCACGTGATTTATTATTAATTTATTTAAAAACTGCATTATCATCATTCTATAACAAATTGAACCAGTTCAGTGCTGCTAGAGTCATATTAAGAGTAAAATAAATTAAAAATAATTGTATAAAAATAGTCGGTAATTAATTTTTATTTAAAAAATATAAGTTTGATACAATTTATTGTGTTATTCAAATTGTAATAAAAATTATAAAATATACAATGTTTCAATAATTTTAAATATGTAATAATTTTATATAATAATATTTTGCAAACTTAAACATTTTAACCAATTATTAAAGTCCTTGATACAAGAACTAATAAATCAACAATTGTCAATTAATATACATTTAAGTAAACAATGAAATTTAATGCCCACCAGCACCGGGTTTAACATTAATAATCAAATCATCGGGTACATTTCTAACGCTATACCACGCCACGCTAAACGCTATAATGCCCACCACCACCCCGGCAATATTAATGTACAAGTACACATTAGGATCGGTTTGAATAAGTTCCGAAATAAAGTAGCACAAAACAATATACGATATATTGCAGGGCCCTATAAACCAGCCCCCGATCCGGTCGGTCAGCGGCATATACCGGCCCACGAATGTGAACAAACAGATCCAGATCGTCGAGAATCCCAGTCCCACCACCACCGCACTCAACCACAAATTGAGCATGACGTTTTGCCCGAAGTATAAGTAAACATACCCGGCCAACGCTATGAACATCTGGACTATTATCATGTATGCTGGCTTGACGTAAAAGGCTATGAATACACTGACGAGCCTACCGAAACTGAAAGCGCCGTTAGATGCGGACATAATATCCGCTGCCGTAGAGGCGGACACATGGAGCACGGGCTGGTACTGAAAGAATGTGTTGGCCCATGTGTTGAACAGGTTTTCCGCCAGAATGGCGGTGAAAAAGACGACCGAAATGCACGACAATATGAAGCGTTTAGGTATGTATTGCTTCCGGCGCTCCCAGTCGACGGGTTTGGTGGTCGAGGTGTCGGTGCTTTCAAAGTCGCTGACGTAATGGTATTTCTTGATAAAAAACATGGAGAAGTAGAATATCGGTCCTAATTGGGAGAAAAAAACGTTATTGATTAGTTTTGGTTGATTAAAATAATTTGCATGCTACATTTTAAAGCACACATTAACAAAATTTGTGATCTACAGCAATTATCTAATTATTACTAATGTTATAGGTAACTCTATAGTCCATGAATGTTAATATACTGTATGTTTTAAAGTGTATAATAAAGTAAGTGTAAATAAATGGTATCAATTTATTATACAAAATATATTGTGCTAATTGATGTAACGCTAAATAATTTTTATTTTAAATACTAAATACTATAATTTATATAATATAAAAATTATTTTGCAGTAACCCTAATCAATTTAAATATAATTGGCATTAAATGGACCGCTCCTATAAATAGATTATTTTTTTTAATACAGTATCTTATAACAGGGATATTTTTATTAGGATAAACTTAAAAAATATATTATATATAAATATATCTGAGCGAATATAGCCAAAAGTGTAACAGAAAAAATGCTTTAATTTTAAAGTAAAGTCGTGTAGGTCTTGCAGCTTTCGATTACTCATATATAATGTTCATATTTTCATTAATATTTTCACTGTTAAATACATTAGTTTATACACAAGGGTTATAAATTAATTTGTTTAAAATATGAACATTATATATGAGTAATCGAAAGCTGCAAGACCTACACGACTTTACTTTAAAATTAAAGCATTTTTTCTGTTACACTTTTGGCTATATTCGCTCAGATATACTGTATATAACTCATGTGTAAATGTCAAAGTTATATAGTTTTATTTGTGATTTTTAAAAAATTCTATATTTATTTTAAAACTAGAAACATTACCTATAATCTCCACAACACCTCCAATCAGGTACGGTATCTCCAGCTGTGGACGTCTATCATAGGTATAACATTGTTCAGTGCAGATATTGTTTGGCACAAATACTGACACTGTTGCATTATTGACCATAATATTTTTAAATGTACACTGAGTCTTGTTAACCCCGGGGCAAATATCGTTGCCAATGACGTAGCCATGGACTAGTAGTGGACCTAGGATAGTACCAATACCCCATAGAAACTGGGCAAATAATAACATGGAGGCGCTCCGATATTTCCACATTTCAACTAGTACAATATTATTGCACCCGTTCCAACTGCCCACACCTAACCCGTAAATTATTGAGCATAGCCACACCTCCCAATAAGTATTGCACCAAGGGAAGAATATAGTACTCAAACTCATTAAGACCACAGCGAAGGACAGGTAGATTTGGCGATTTATTAGCTTGAATAATGCGGTAGCTATACATGGTAGATTTAATAATAGAGTTACTTTATAAGTCACATTTATTTATTATATAAGATTTATGTGTATTTGATTATAATTTACAATACCAAATGAACCGGCAAATATGCCAACCCCGGTAAATGCGGGTGCCAAACTGATCATGTTCAGGGACGAATTTGTAGTGTACTGAAAGTCCACATACGCCGATGCCGGCATCGCTGAGGTTAGTCCCTATTAGTTGTGTATTTTTAATCTTTTATCATTTATTTAATAAATATTATTAGTTATACATATTATGCATTATACGAAATATAATATTTATTATTGAAATAATAATACAGTAGTATAACTGTAGTAATAGTAGCTCTAATGATAGTGTATCATGTTAGTTAATATTGCATTAATTAAATATTGATTGTATTATATTGAATAGCAATAAAAGTTTTATAACTTACATAAAATAAGTGGTTATAAAAATGAATCGCAGTGTATACCCATTTGTAGGCAATACTCATTTCTCTATCCGGATCACCGACTGGTATAGTGAACACCTCGGTAACCGTACCCACAATATTGACCCAGGTATTCATATTTAGTTCGACTTTAATATATTGTAAATTTTCAATGTTTTACGGGTAATTAGCAATATTTTGAGAAATATTAAAGTATTACTAATTCGGTAGACAGTGTCTAGCTTTTCACTAATTATTTTATAATGTTACTCAATATGGTATTAGTTTTAATAAAGTTTAATGAGTAAGCAACTAATAAACGCTAAATCAGCCCTAAAGCCAACAAATACTTTTAGTAAAAATAAATTGCATAAAAATAATTAAAACTTAAAACTTTCCAGATTTCAATACAATAATATGAGTTTATTTCTAGTGATACTGTATTACAATTAGCAATAAATGTCGTGTAACTCAATGACTGATGGATAAGTAATTATTTTATTTATTTGTATGATTGTCTGTTGATTTAAATAAGATTTTATTGTAATTATATGTAATTAATTCAAGAATATATTAATATAAAATGTCAATGATTTAATTAATATAAATTTTATGGATTATATTTGCTATAAATAGTTTTATTATATAATAAAGTTTATAAGTTGTTTTAATGCTATATGCTTGTAAATTCAACTCTTATATAAGTCTATGTTTCGTATATTATTAATATAAAGTGGTACTTCATAACTATTATATTAGAAAAATCTTGTATTATTATATATTTTCATGAAATTTAATATTAAATTATATATATATATAAATATATATATTTATGGTTAACTATTGTGTATTAGAGAAATAAAAATGGACTCAATAAAGGTCTGAATTATTTGATATAACTTAATATATAATTATATTATTTTTAAATATAATATTTGTATTTTTGAAAATATTAACATTTAAAGCAGATCTAAGCTTGTAATGAAATTAAAAAATGAAACTGTAATTAAAATATTTGACTAGTATATTATCCTTACTAGTTTATATTGAATATTGTATATGGGATTGTACCTACAAAACTAATATTATTTTTGTATAATTTGTTACATTTTGTTTATTAATATAATTGTCATAAATAATCAAAATTCCCTATATAATATTAATACTATTTAATAATGATAATAAAAAAGTTTACAAATTAAAATTAATAATATGAATGTCATACTAATGTGTGCCCTAATAATTATTATAAATTGATAAAACTATTAAATACCAAGCTAATGCCCACCGGATCCTGGCACCACATTCAAAATCAAATCATCGGGTACATTTCTCACGGCATACATAGCTACCACAAACGCTATAATACCAATGCCTACGCCCGCGATACTAATATACAAAAATATCGACGGGTCCCACAAAATGAACTCGCTCACAAAATAGCACAATATCACATATGATATATTGCAGGGGCCTATAAACCAGCCCCCGATCTTATCTGTCAGTGGCATATACCGGCCCACAAATGAAAACAAACAGACCCAGATGGTTGAGAATCCAAATGCTATGATAATGGCTGAGCACCAGAGGGTCGCGTAGTTATCTTGGCCAAATAGCATGAATATATAACCACCTAGTATAAGGGACGTAAGTAAAAAAATTCATATAAATTATTAACAAGTATAAATTTTAAAAATATATAGCAATATTTATAATTTAGAAAACTATTTACATATTACTAATACTAATATTATTATTATATTTTAAATTATAAATCAAGATAAAATTTATTTTTAAATTATAATGTATTACTAGTATTAATTTATTAACACATTAAGTTTTATAAATTATTATAATAACCTAAATATATCTCGTTTAATCTGTTTTAACAATATTTCTGAGCAAGGTATTTATTTTCCAACCCGACATACCCTTACCTAATGTGATGAACAACGGGACGATTACCATGAGGTCGGGCTTCACATAAAAGGCTATGAAAACACTGATGAGTCGACCGAAGCTAAAGGCGCCGTTCATTGCCGACACGATGACCGAGGCCTGAGAGGCCGGTACTCTGAGCACCGGCTGGTACTGAAAGAATGAGGCGGCGAACGAGTTGA